TTTGATATGTTTTAAAATATTGTAAAACCTCACTTCACATATTGCGTTTTCTAGACGAAAAATTTGTCATGAATTCTTCTAAAGGTTTTCGCTACGATATAAGTCTCAAGTCTTTTCTTTTTACATTAGAATTTTTCGAACTGTTTGGGAAAATCTGCTGAAACTCGCAAGAACTGTTTTTGATCTGTACACGACAAAAAATATTTCGGTCCGAAATTAGAAATTCTGCCTGCAAACTGAAACTTTTTTCATTCACTTGCTTCAGCGGTGGGATGTTACAAATATATAAATAATAATATTGAGTGATATGCAAACTCTAGACGCCTAATGGGATTCCGTATGTTCATATAATGGGTTGAGGTAAACTTCAAGAAAATCTTGTAAAACATTTATTTATGCATCTATTACACCCGAACAAAGACAAAACTAATAGTTAAAGTAGTCCCCTTCAACTTCTAGCACTTCCTGCCACTTTGCAAAAGATGGATTCCGCGAGCGTAAAATTCTGAATGATGCGTTGCCAGATTGATGCATTCACTTGCCACCTTTGCTTCAAACTCAATAGCTATCCGTGCATCATCAGCAACCTGATTTGCTTGCTTGTTAACTCTGTCTTGAAATAAGTAGATAAATTACATACCACTCAAGGCGGGAGAAGACGGGCATTCAAATGAGCCCCAAAACACAAAAAATTGCCTACATCTAAACAAGTTATAAGCATTTTTTCAGAACTTTTTCCCTAATCTATTATTTTGTCTATACATATACATATGTATGTTTTATATATATACATATATGTATATCTATGTATATTTTGTCTAGTATAGTCGTATGGAATAATATTGCTAATAACAACATTAAAATACAGAAATTAGTATTCGATCGCGCGTCTCCGTGATTGTTATCAACTCCAACGCGCGCTGGATGGAATTTGTTCGTACATCGTAAAGGGCAGCGTCGATGATGCATTACGACGGCGTGTTTGAGCAAGAGCCATATTGAATGAATCGATATGGAAATCGTTGTTGGTACGGCCATGAAATGAAAAGCAGTGAAAAATCGACGGGGATGGATAGTATTCTACAGATGAGAGCAGAGGACATAGGGAAGATTGTAGTCAGGTATAGAAGAAAGAAGGCGAGAAGCTACACGGTGGCACGTGCACCAAGCCAAGAAAGACAACGATCGCAATCGTAGAACGCTTCTAAACTATTTGTTTTACATAAATGTAATTTATTCCTTCTGTTGCTTAAAATACTTTGAGGCACTATGAAGCTGAGAAGGCAACTAACACATATGAGAGGCATGGGTAGCGGCGAAAAACCATAAATTGTGCACAAAGAAAAAAGAAAATAGAAACTATACGCCGAAAATTATGGAAAAATAGAGAAAAAATGAGGTAATTTGTGAAACCACTAGTGGATGTAGCTTCGATGAAAGTGCGAAAATGAGCATGCTTTATTGTAGGAAAGTGTCTTGAAGCGCTTCAGAAATGCATATTTAAGTGAGATTCGAACCAACAAATTTGTTACATCGTTGACAAGAAATAGGAAACATTTGACTAATAGGAGAAATAAGCAGGTATAAAAGTAATTAGAGACGTAAAGCACATCTCGGGAATCAATAGCGATAGCATGCATGAGCTGATCTCGTACACAATAATGGCCATTGTCGGCCTTGCGATTCCGAAGCTGTTGGTACAGCTCGGAATTGAGCGGACTTCGAGGACTTAAACGGCTTAAAGAACGATCTTGCTCACGGCACGAGTGCAAAAATGGGCAAAGCAGTGTTTGAGTTTTGAGATTTGTGCCAAGAAGTGAGATCTGCCTTATGCATTATCTGCAAATGACGTGATTTCCCAAAAAAAAAATGCTGTTATTCAAAACTTCTAAGTTTCATAGCACTTCGTAGAATTTAGTCAGAGCTTAAACGTGGTTATTTAAGAAGTAGATCAAAGCAGAGTTTGATGCCGATATTTGCCACCAAGTCAAACCGTTGACTGTTGGTTGGTGACAGTGGAAAGACTGATTTTAAATAAGGGCTCCAATAGTGTAATGGTTAGCACGCACCTCAGAAAAGACTGAATTGAGGTTTCAACTCCCACCCGTAGGTTAAAGTCTTGTATCACTCAACATTATTGAATATATAGTTAAAATATTATACCACCGCTAAAAACGGAGTTGAAGAAAGCGCTTTACTTTGATCAATCTGCAATAGTGCACATGCTCGACACTTCCATGCACGGTAGAAGTGACTGAATATGAACATGACCTATACAAGAACTAGTAGGTGGTGGCTTAAGACGAAAAAGAAAAAAGTTCCAATTATCAGAATCCAAATACTTTCGTTTATTGTGATTTTCCAAATGAAAGTTTACTAGACTCTGAATAGAGGTGTTCAATAGAGTGTGTTCGTTTGTACAGGGTCAGCGTCTGTCCAATGACTAATCATATCTATTTGTGCTTTGTCGGCAAGAGTAATCGGTGCTAATGAATTTGTAAATTGTCTTTCTACGTCTAAGATTAGAGTTGTTTTACCATACATTTTGCGAACATTGCTAGGTCTTCCAAATTTATTTGACAATAGCGGAAACGGCTACCAATAGTCGTTATGTGATGTCACACCTCCAAAATTATTTACTTATTTCCTCATTTACTATGTGAACCTCTATGTTCTTTATTTGTAGCAAGCCACACCTTGAAACTGCTGTTCTACCTAATCAGCTTCCAGGCTTCTCCAGGTATGTGTTAATGCAGTGGAATCTCTTTCTTAAATTTTTCTCGCACATTTTCCGCCGCTGCTAGCCTACATCTATTCAATTTTGCTCGTGCAGAGCTCAGTGACCATTATATTGGCTTTCAAATCAGGTTCAAATAACGAGAGCATTTGAAGATATTCACTCAATATCGTGTGGAAGAGATATCAGGAATGAAAGCAATTTTGAAAGACCTGTAAACTTTTTCTTTCATAATTTACTATTGGAAAAAGGTTTTCAGAAGCAAGAATGGTGGAAGTGCTTGGATCTGCATAGTTGAAGGTGATGATGGTCGTAAGAGAAAAATTACTGCTGCTTCTTTCTTAATTTTGTATACACATAGCATCGATGAAATGTGACATAACGTCATCTTTTGCACTCACGACATGTCAGTGGATCTCGTTATCTTATAGTGCTAAATGTACAGATCATAACAAACTTAGTCAGAGCGTAATCGTTTACAATTCAATCAGTGTCACGTCACTGATAATGGCTGCGATAAAGGGTGTTTGCCTGTATAGCGTAGGTCACTTTGCTCATTATAGCTGTTTGGTGGTCTTCTATCTGAAGATCTAATAGGATGCTGAAAGCCATTTTAAACCTTTGATAGAGCTGACGTTAACATCTCCAATGGGGAATAACTAACACAACGCATTTTCTGCAACTGTGTTGGACGGTGGACGCGAAGACAAAGGAGCCCATTAGCTGTCGAAAAATATCATAATCTTGGATAGAGTAGCTGCTCCACGAAACTGAAAATTTGAACTCAAATTCGGGATTTCGAAAGTGGTAACGAGTTTGATAAATGCTTCAGCAATTAATTTTACTGAGTGCTGCCATTTTCCTCCTCTTATTTAACACATTTTCAAGTATGAAAATAAGACGATGTATGACTTGATTCTGAGCTTATTGCTACTTGGGAGTTTTGAAGTACTATAGCTTAAAAAGCTATCTTATTATACATGTCATGAAACTTTACATGGCTTTCTAATAAGGTACAAAACTAGGTGTTTCGATAGAGTTCTAGAACTTTGGATGTGAAGTATCTCTTAGAAACAATTCAATAATGTTTCGTCACGGTAGGTATTGTAGATGGAGCGATGCTTCAAGAATTGATAGTTGAGTAGCAAGAGGTACGAAGAGCACGTTGTAGAAAGCAGACTTTCCTAGTCCAACTCATTTTACTATCACAAGTTGTACATCTCATGAGCAGGAGCTTTCATGCAGTGGACACTAGGCTTTTTGAGACTCTAAATTGACACCGCCACTCTGCTGTGAACCTGTCACTGTGATCGAGCAACTTGTACGCCATGATTCTCACTGCAGAAAACAAACATTCATCGTGGCCACATCGGCCTCACTTTCCTTGCATCTCACCATGCGATTAAAATACTTCTCTGCAACTTGACAGGGTGCATTGCAAGGGTGGTCAGCTACTTATAAGCTCCCACGAAATCATCATCATGAAGACGTATGTCGGGGTTGAAAACATTCAGAACAAATGCCTCTCATTTGTTCAAGTTCTGTGACAGTTGGCGTAGGTGTTCATCTTTATTCCCAGAATTGAACTCTTGATAAGCATTTATACCGTTCTGAGGGTGTTTCAAACCAAATCCCAGATAAGGGTGATGTGTAAACTGTATTATACTATAGAGCCCACAAGAGGTTTTCACAGTCCTTACACTCTGCTAAGGTTTCGGAGCCTTTTCTTTTTAGGATTTTACGCAATATGGTGTTGTCCGTTGTCTTGATCCCAAAAAAAGTCTTGATCCTTCATGCCTAGCTTAAATGAAAGTCTATTTCGAGAATATTGCGTACAAAGCTGTTCAGCATAAAATAAGTACTAAGAACGATTAGTACGATGCCTCAGGAATAATCTGAGAAATGAATTTGCACATTTCAAATGAGAAGGCAGACAATACTTGTCAATTCGATAAGTGTTTGCTTTCATCCATTATCATTTCAATTTATGTGACTTGAGAAATGTAAAGGTAATTTTCTCTTGGTCACTTTCCATTAATCACACTTCAGCTGTCGTGAACGGAATGGTGTAGAATGTCATATTCGACACCTACGTTCTGTTTCCTATCATTTTGGACTTTCCTTGAGTTTGCTTTTACTTCATCATAATCCTCGTAGAAAGAGTAATAGTGCCCAAAGAAAGTGTTTTTCAGATTCTCCCTACATCGCAGAAACGATAGAGATTTTGATAAGCAATCAAAGTTCATGTATTTGACCGCCTCTTGCGGTGGTGCAGTGGTTAGCATACGCTCACGAAAGGGTGAGATCTGGGTTCGAATCTCGGCTGACGCAAATGTTTTTGCGCAGCACTCTACATTATTGAGTATTTTGATAAGCACTACGTTTAATCGACTAATATGTGATCAGTATCACTGCAAGATTCAATGAGAGATTCTCGCATCGAATGTTGAGAAGAGAGCTTCTAAAGCTTTGAGATGGTCGTCACAGTGATCTCAGATGTCTGTTCAATTTTTAGATGCTTCCATTAACACAGCGCCCTCACATCACCAACAGTGACCAGGTAGTGGTTGCTACGTCGATGGATATTTTGGAGGTGGACTGTTTAGTGGTAGTGGCAATGTTCATCATTAGCATAGCATTACTTGGATTCTTCAAACTTACTATGTCTAACATCCGGGCAGGACCGAAAATTTGGTTCCAGATTCAACTAGGAATAGTTTGGCCCTTTTAGTTCAAGTGAGAAAGCTCTAACCTGGAATTGAAAAAAAAAACAAAGCAGGTACTTATATAATTTTAAGAGTTCTTATTTTTTATTACTTTACTGAACACTATGACACTGCGAAAAAAAGCAGTAAAAACGTAAAAAAAAATCTTGGAATTGCAAATGTATAACGGCTGTCAGCTCAAATGGGTTTATAAAACGACATTGCTTACTCGACAAAACTTGTTAATTGTTGGTGGCTGATAGCAATGATAGAGAAATATTGAAAAATGAGTGGATGAGTAAGCGGTGGCCTTGGTGGTGTAGTGGTAGCACACAATCCCCGTGTTGATGAGACTCGGGTTCAACTTCCGACTGAGGCTGCATTTTTGTTTACCACTCAAATCTCTAAAGTGTATTCAAAGCAGGTACTAACTCTATGCCAATCTCCTTCGTCGACATCGAAAGATTCGACTTATCTTTCTCATAAGTTGATGTTGTAACGTGTGACCAAGGCTTCGGTTAGGCCACAATCTTTCAGTCGTATTCATCCAATTTTGATCCTTAGTTTTTCAAGTATATCTATGCTTCTGACCTACTGTGTGTTGAAGAGGACACTAACGTTGCTATTATTCTATCACCATACGTCTGTTCTTCGGTACCGTATTACCTGATGCCGTATTCGCCTTTTTCATTATGCACCATCGAGTTTCCAATCTAAGTTTTGGATGCAGGTCTATGTGCGAGTAGGTGTAGATTGTTGTCATAGACATTTTAGGTTTAGATGCATAGGAAGACTTTGCGGTTATGGCAACTTGTTGACAATCTCGCCTAAGAGATTTTCTTTTCCTTAACTACTGAGAAGAAAATTAGATCGATTAGTGATTTTTTGCATCATCTCAATAAAACGGTGAAACTACGAGATCTTAAGATGTGTAGCTAATTGCTTATTTGGGATACCAAATTTCTAGTAAAGTTCGAGTGGAGTGACTATCAATCAAAAACCGACGACGCTCGTCTTAGTGGTTGAGTTCTGATTAAAAGATCATAACATCAAATTGAAAGGATACCCAACAAGTGATCGGCCACATCTAATTCTTGTCGACACATATTCATTCTCTGAATTCGAAGTCTAGGACTTCATCCAGATTTTTGTCTCTTAGATACATAGGGGGCTGAGTATCGGTGGCCTTCAAACCGTTATGAAAATCTTCAATGACAAGGTTGAATAGGCCAACGAAGAGTGTGTAGACTTCTGCATCAGGTAGCAAGAGTGTATACGCTTCTGCAGCAGCTGCATCCAATCCGACACCAGAGTCGAGATTCTCAACTCCAGACCGAATGATGTCAAGGAGAGTTGCACCTAGTCAGATTTTCTTCCTCTTTAATTTATCAACAACAGCCTTGGCAGGTGTTTCTTCAGTAGAAATTTGCAATCTGCAGCACCTTGGGGTTTTGCAGATTCATTCTCAATTTTCTTTCCACTGTCCTTCGGAACCGCTATCGGTGAAGCGTATTGAGTAAATGCACTAAGAAATCGATGAAAACCCGAATGCGTGCAACTCTCCTCGACATCATTCAGTTTGCAGTTGAGAATCTCGATTCCGGTGTCAGAGTGTATGCACCTAATGCAGAACCTACACACTCTTCGTTGACCTATACAGCGCTGTCATTCAACGCTAAATCAAATTTATTCTCTGTGTTTACGACAGTTACTGTGTATTAGTCAGTTGATTGGCGTTATTTAAAACGGCCCTTGAATAAATCAGTTTAAGTGATAGGATGCTACTTCAAAAATGGAGCAGTGCTTTGAAGGTGGCTTGACGGGCATTGTTTCCTGGCAGGCAGCAAACTTTTATTGTACCATAAATATAAACATACAAAAAGCCAGGAGGCATAGTATTTTGTTGGTGACTGCTCAAAAACTGACTGAATTTTAGTACAGAATCCTGCATAGTCCACTCAGTGCATTTACCAGTATTTTTTTGCTAAAGTTATGCCACTTTTTTGAACATCTATCCAATTTCTTCCGAGAAAAAACTTCCGAGCCGGGAGCCAGTAGATCGAAAATTCTCACCACTCTGTTAAATGCGGGAGTCCAGAAATTGAGAATATTTACCATTGAAAGGCGAGATAGAGTTCTGATTGAGAAAAATCAGTCGTTTCGAACATTTTAATTTCAGTGGGTGATTTCCAAAAAACAACCTTTTTCGGAAAAAAAGCAGAACTCCTTCAAAGAAGTACGCTCACCGAAATATCGAAAGATGAGCGAAATTTGAGCTCTTAAGTGGGCTTCGAATTCGTAATCATGCTTTTCGTGGGAAAACCAACGTAATGTACGTTAGAAATAGAGATTAGTAAAACTATGTGTGCAGAAAAAGGATGTGTTGATAGCCATACCGCCGAAACGTGACAAACGAAATGTAACGTAAGAAAGCTCGAAAAGTTGGCCGAAAACATTTTCAAAGACTGTATAAATGATTGCGCTATTAAGGTCTTTGAGAAACAGTCGATCAATGAAGGTATCATTCACATGAATTTTTTATCTATCACGGGGACGCTAGCAACAAGGCAAAGGATCTACCAATCTGCACACATACTCAGTTCTAGAAGAGATTTTCCTCAAATGAGTGCGAACATATTGGAATGCTTTTGAGACTCACTCATTTAGCCCTCAAATTTCTTTCTTTTTGAGTTAAGCACATTATTGAACAATGCCGAGTGTATCAGATAGTCTGTCTTGCTAGTTGCTCAGTATAATATACCTGAACCGACTTTCCTTTAACTTCGCCAAAAACAATCAATCACATTTTCTTTGTTGATCAAGCTTGTAGCACGAGACTGCCAATGAATAGTGTTACTTGGACTAATGTTTCGACTCGTTTCGTCTGCTTCAAAGCCAATGATTTGAGTTGATCGTCCTCCTTATGGATCCGCGCTTTCGTTTCGTTCGAGTCGATCCTTCGTTGGAACACCGCACAAAAGTGATTGATTTTGAGGCCTTCTTAGAGGATATCAGACATGCTGCAGTACAAACAAGCGTAATTGTGGTGAAACTTCCGATCTTTCCTATTAGCGATAGAAAGGCATCTATCTGAGTGCAATGCAGTCACATTCACTGCTCTAGGCTCTGAAGATGGTGAGTGCAGTGACACGTCAGCTGTTCGCGAATGAGAAGCATAAATAGAGCCTTGCAATTGTTTCGCTGAGTACTTCAACCTTCGTTAAATGGTTAACAGAGCACTCCGATACCCTGACGGAACACTTACAGCTTCAAGAAGGGCTATGGAGAAAATCATCTACCAATACTACTCGAATCTCTTCGCTAACCATGTCCTCTTACCGTCATTTAAATTGTAAGAGGACAAATATGTCGTTCCAGCGGTCCTCCTTCCGAAATCCGACATGCTACATCGTCGGTGAAGAACAGAACAACACCCGGTCTAGACAGGATTAGACCAGAACACCTGAAGAACCTGCCGCCAGTTCTCATCAATACCCTGGCTCGGCTCTTCACTCGCTACCTGTCAGAATGCAAGGTCAATGGAAAAATGGGAAATGGAAATGGAAGTGGCCTATCAGTGGAAAACCAGCAAGACCGTATTGTTGTTCAGAAAGAAAGACCTTCACGACATCGACAATTATCTCCGAATCTGCTTGCTGTCCTTTGTCCATAAACTCTTTACTCGAGTCATCCTAAACAGGATTGACACAACACTGGACGAAGGAACAGCCATGCGAACAAGCGGGTTCCGAAAAGGATTTAGTACCATGGACCACATCCACACGATTACAAGACTCATTGAAGTTTCACGAGAGTACAAACAACCACTCTGTCTCACTTTCATCGATCTGAAGAAAGCCTTTGATTCAGTGGAAACAGAAGCGGTTATAAAGGCTCTGCATAACCTGGGCGCCCCTACTCGGTACATAATGACCCTTCGTGAGCTTTATAAAGATTTCACGACCAAAATATCCCCATTCTACAGCAACATCACCATTGACGTTAGAAGAGGGCTTTCACAAAGCGATACAATTTCGCCAAATCATTCACTGCCACCCTACAAAACGTCATGCGAACATTAGAAGTGGATGATATGGGAGTGAAAATTGACGGTCGACAATTAAACCATCTTCGCTTTGCTGACGATATCGTTCTCATAACACCAAACATCAGCCAAGCAGGAACGAATGTTGACCGATTTCGACAACGCCTGTGGGAAGATTGGTCTTCAACTAAATCTAACGAAAACAATGTTCATGAGGAACGGATGGGTTTCGAATACCCCATTCACGCTCAACGGAACGACAATTCCGAATGCTCCAGTTACGTCTATCTAGGTCGTGAAATCAACATGATGAACGACCTAGCTCCAGAGTTGAGCAGGAGGAAACGAGCGGCTTGGGGAACGTTTAAGAGCATCGAAGATGTAGTGAAGAGGACAAAGAACATCCGACTCCGTGCCCACCTTTTCGACTTGACAATTATCCCTGCCCTAACGTATGCAGCAGAAACCTGGTCGCTACGTAAGCAGGATGAAAGATCACTTGGCGTTATCGAACGCGCAGTCGAAAGGTCGATGCTAGGAGTATCTCGTATTTCGCAAATGAGACAAAGGATCCGAAGTTCCGACCTACGTCAACGATCGAAAATCAGAGACGCCGTTCTACACGCCAGGATATCGAAAATCAGGTGGGCCGGACACGTGATGCGCTTCAACGACAACCGATGGACGAGAGCCGTTACCGACTGGATTCCTCGGGACGTCAAGCGCTCTAAAGGAAGACCACCGACCCATTGGTCCGATTTCTTCACGAAAACGATGAAGAAAGATATGATGCCCAGCGAATCACTAGAACGAGGACGACCCACTGGAGACTACTCTTGCACGCAACAGGGAAAGATGGAAGAGTTGCTTGTACCCGCTCGAGTCACTCGACGATCAACGGGACGACAGGTGATACAGGTGATTGAAGAAAATGGCAAAATTTTAGCTGATGAAAGTGTGGATAAGTGAACGATTACCTATGATTTTAACAGTCTGGCGTCCAACGTTGTTAGGCAGAAGGTGTCGCGCCGTCGCGTACGCGGCACTCGACTAGCAGAGGCATATGCGTCTCTGCGTAAAACTGTCGTTGTGCCTGCGCTCTCTTTCAGCAAGCGACCTTCATTCCACGCCGCCGTCTCGGTAGGCGATTGAGAACGTGAGAAAATTGAGAGTCACAACAAAGGCAGAGGAGAGTAGGCCCTGAGGTATGGACAACCAGTTACCAAGAAGCTGTCACTATCACAATCACAGTCGTTATCACTATCACCATCACTATCACTAATACTACCATTATCACTACCACTATCATTGTCACTATCATTACCATCATTATC